AACTTTTATTTTCTAGGTTAAAATCGAATGCTTGCTTATTTAGTTTTAAGATGGCCAAAGATATTCATCATTTGGACAGACCTTTGAAAAAAATAACTACAGCAGTATTTTTACTTTGGGAAATCTCTCTTAAAATAGGAGACAAAGGGACATGTGTGTGTTCTTATGCAGTGAAAAGAATTAAGTCTAACTAAATGTCAACACACATTATTATTTCTGGTTTAAAACCATATTTGGAACATCTAAATACTTTCTGTAATGGAGATACTGTTGCCATTGTTTAGTAGTAATGCTTTATTTCTTCTGAAACGTTTGAGGTTCTCTGCCACAAGATTTGAAATAATTCTCAGCCACTTTTTTTATCAGTAGATGTGTTACTCAAATGCATCATGCAATTTGTGAATGCTAGACAAAGGTATTCTCAAACAGACAAAGGTTCCAACAATATTCCGAAAGTTTTTTAGTTTAGATCAGAGCTCCCCCCCCCAAAAAAAAGAGCACTTTTCATTAGTTAACAAGCTTAGAGTTTTGGTAAATTTTAGCTTCTTTGCTGAATCTTCTTTCTGAAACCGCAATCCAGACTCCCTACTTTTTTTTTGCTCTCTCATCTGATTCCCATCTCTCTACTTAGTTTTAATTGCTCACCAATCACTAATCTTGCCCTTTCCCCCATCTAACAGAGGTTTCACATTATCTTCAAGTTTTGGTCTGAGTGCTGTAGCCTGTCCATCAAAGCCATTTCTAGACCCTTTAAAGTTTATTAACTCCTTTGCAGTTTTTTAGTCATTAGCGTTTTCCCACTTTTAGTCATTGAGCACTTATGTATCAACCCTCCCATCTTCTACCAGGGCTAACCTTCTTTTGTCTTTCCTTTCAGCAGTAAGAAATTTTATTATGTGTTATATATCCTTACTGTCCTTCAACTGGAAGTTTCCACCGTCTCCAAAGTTAGTTAACTCTGTGTGTGTGCAGGTACGTGTGCACCTGAGTGCAGTCACGATTAGCATCTGAAATTGGTGCGCTTGGTAGAGACATTTCTTGAAATAAAGGTAGAAATCTTGAAATAAAGAATATTTCAAGAAGGTATTTCATATCTTGAAATATCTTGAAAGATATTTCATATCTTGAAAAATCAATATTTCATATCTTGAAATAAAGCTATTCTGAGAGAAAATCCTTTTTCTTTAGTGAAAGACAAAAGTGAATACATTTTCAGAAATATGCCTAGAAAGCACTGATTCATTTTAGGTCCAGGACACCCCAGTGGCATAATGGGGTAAATTAAATTAATGGCATAAATCCAGAACTTTAAGGGGAAGAATACAAAATTATGTCTGGTGCAGTAAGTTAACCAAGTAGTCCCAGAGATCTAAAGCATATCACACTCACACTAGGTACCTAATGTGATGGTGGTCTCTGAGAGGTGCATTATCTGGCTCCAGGGCAAACTCACTTTCTGTTTTTCTTCAAAATTCCACAGCAGTTTTTTTTGTTGTTGTTATTGTCTTTTAATGAGACCACGGCTAGATCTTGAGTTAGGAGGTTTGTGTCTTGCTTTTCCTTACCCTCATCTGGCTTCAGGACTTTCACATAGCCAGCAAAGATTCAGCAAATATTTGAATGTGTGAATGAGTGAATGAGTAAATCATGAATACTAGATGCTCCCTTTTAGTTTAGGAATCCTATCTCTGGCATAATTTCATATTCCTTCTCAGAGCATAAGCTCTTTTTTTTTGTATTTTACTTTATTTATTTATTTATTTTATAAATTTATTTTTATTTATTTTTGGCTGTGTTGGGTCTTTGTTGCTGCATGCAGGCTCTCTGTGGTTGCAGCGAACGGGGGCTACTCTTTGTTGCTGTGCACGGGCTTCTCATTGCAGCGGCTTCTCTTGTGGAGCATGGGCTCTAGGTGCACGGGCTTCAGTAGTTGTGGCAGGCGGGCTCAGTAGTTGTGGCAGGCGGGCTTAGTTGCTCTGCGGCATGTGGGATCTTCCCGGACCAGGATTCGAACCTTTGTCCCCTGCATTAGCAGGCGGATTCTTAACCACTGTGCCACCAGGAAAGTCCTCAGAGCATAAGCTCTTAAAGGGCCGAGATAATGCCTTTTAACCATGGGCATCATGTATCTTAGTGCCGCTATTAAATTTATAAAAATTTTTAATCTATTTTTCTAATGTTTTTTTCTTCTCTGATCTTCACTGTGGTGGAGAGGCAGTCCTGTAGAATTCAAGGAGTTGTAAAGAACCCTTGAAATTCCATATGTGCACCCAGAATGCCTCTCACATAAGGGAAAAAAACATCTTTCAGTTTATTGCTATATGCAGGTATGCAGTACCTTCTTAAATGAATCAGTGATTTTTAAAAAATGAAATAGCTGTTAATTGTAAAATAAAGATTATCTTAATGATTTGAGAAATGCTTTTTTTTTTTTTTTTTTTTTTTAACTAACAAGTACATAAAGGACAACTTCTCCCTTGTGGGAAACTGTAAAGTTAATTGCTATTTTTAAAAAAGGATCTCAGAGTAGAAAGCATTAAAAACCACTGATCTAGGCCAGCCAGATTTTCAAGATGAAAATCTGAGAGCCAGGATGGGAAAGTGAGTTGCATCAAACCGCTGAGGCTAAGTATCTAAAAATTGTCACATGGGGCCTAGA